ACAACTGATCATTTCTGATAGTCTTAAGTCGGCGATGTCTATCGGCCCATTAAAAAATTTTTCAATCCATTTTATTTTCCATTAATTTACGTTATTTCTAAAATGTCGTTATCTTTAAGAAATAATTTGATAGTGTTAGTTGAAATTCCTATAAAATGACTTCCCTTGTAGAAATTCTTTCAATCTCTTTCAATCACAAATGGAATCTTAGATTTCTAACACTGATTTTTCTTAGCGTTTGTTTACTACCTTTAAAATTACTTCTAATTCATTGTTGGCTATTTCACTCCTTTCCGTCTGATTAGTCTTCAAGGAGAATTTTCCTGTGAGACAACCTTTGTTTTATTGTCGCAAAAGGTCTCCACTTTTATTGTCAACTGGACGCACTCGATTCTTTCTGCTGTACGTACGTGGGAGCCCAATGCTTTCATTCTTCTCTCTAGCTCTCAGCGTTTCACACATTCTGCTTTCTGCGCTATTTTAGCTCTTACTCCGGTCATCGTAATCGCTACGCTTAAAGTGATTGCATATGATGGCGGAAATCGTAGGGGGTTCGCCGTCGAATTCCGCCGTCTGCCAAGGTTACCGTTACTGATAAAATCAATCGATTCGCGTAAACACATATCAGCACTAAAACCATCAAAGAACTTTCTAGCTATAGTGTTAAACCGTATTTATTTGGAATTACTACTTGGTAAGATGCAACCCAATCCTTACCCCACCTATATAAGACCTCTTAATCTCCTTATATCAACTCTAGCTGCTGTTCGGTTCCGCGGCAGACAGCAGAAGCAGCAGCAGCAGCAGCTATCAAACCAGTTCCTCCCACACTGGCAACACTTTCATTAGCCGTCGAACAGCGCTAAATACATATTAGCACCGAGAAAGGAAGTGTGCTAAGTAGACAGCGTTTTTCCACACTTTCTGACCCCAAAGACCCAAATGTGCGACAACTCTGTGAATGTTTGTGCATTTCTGCTGTGTATTTCTGAATAGCAAACAATTAAAAGGGTGTTAAAGCTGCTCGC